GTACCGCGTCACCGACATATCACCCTGGCAAAGCTGCTCAAACTGTCTGCGCAGCTCTTCTCTGCGGGACTAAGGAGAACTAATGCCAAGTAAGGGGTGCTGCGCCAATAGGCCTACGCCTCTCGTAAGTCTCCCACCATCTGAGTGCAGCCCCAGAAAACTAAAAAGAAGTGAATAAGACCCTACTGGTCTCCAGAATACCTGCTGTCTGAAGCATCCGTTGGCACCTATCCAGAAAATCCTGAGCATCCTCTGACTCAGTACCGCTAAATGGGGGAGGTCGAAGCCTCTCAAATCTCTTAAGTCTCCTCTGCTCATCATCTACCATAACAGGAACTACCGGGGCCTTAGCAGCTGCAACCGGTTGGGCTGGTAGTGCCCCCGATATCTGAAGTCCATGTACTACCTGGTTTGGAGTACGGGCAACGGGGGTATGAGTACCTCCCCCAGCCTGAGAAGTGGCAGGTGCGGCCTGAGCCGAAACCACCTGAGCAAGACCAGTGTAGGCTGCCAATATTTGGGCCAAAGTCTCTTGAATGCCTGCAATCTCAATAGGTACAGCTGGTGCCTGAGATGATCTTGTCGGCTCAACTATATCTGGAATCTGCTCCTGAGTTGGAACAACTGGTGGTACTACAGGTGCTGTTCCAACTGTGATACGAGCTATACCTCGACCTCTACCTCGGCCCCGACCTCTACCACGACCCCGACCTCTCGCGGCCCTAACTGATGACACTGGTGGCTGGCCGTCTGATCCGGTAGTATGTGTCCTCACCATCTATGAGAGAATAGAATATCAGAAATTTAGTTTCCAGAATCAACAAATTCGCATGACAGAATACAAGAAAGTGAAATTTTCCTAAGAGTTCTGCAGCCTCTCGAAGATAAGTACAGACGTCTCCGTACCGATCTGCAAGACTCTACTAAGCCTGCTCATGACTCGTGAGACCTATGTAACCTATGCTCTGATACCAGCTTGTCACGACCTAAAATCTCACCCATCGTGATGGCGCCTATCTCTATACTAGGCAAGCCGTTAATGTCACTAAACCACAATTTCTTTTATGTTTGAAAATATGATATTTAAATACAATACAAAATCTCCCAAATACAAATACGAACATTCCCCAAAATCTGGTGTCACTGAGTACATGAACATCTAATATGAATACAAATCTAGAAAAGTACAGTCTACAATAGTCTAAGACCAAAAATACAATAATACAGAGATAGGGAAGGAGAGACAAGGTCTGCAAAATACGGTAACTACCTTTGAATCTCCAAAAAATCAGTTGTACGGAAGAATCAACACTCGCTATATTCGGGAACACCTGGATCTGCACACGAAGTGTAGGGTGTAGTATGAGTACAACCAACTCAGCAAGTAACAATAATAAATAAGGAACTGAAGATAGTAACGAGCTACACATTTATGGTTAATTTTCAGTAATCCCAACAAAGAATAGACATGCTATCAAATCTGGCAGTTTAATGTCAAATTAATTTTTATGCAATTCCTGTTCATGTAATCCGTATATCAACAATCTTTCAAAAATTTTACAACAATGACAGATAGCAACTAAATGCAACAACAAATGGAATTCAAGTACAACCTCTCAGAACAACAATCACTCACTGGGCTCCCAACCCTCATCACTCCCTAGGCTCACAGCCCTCATCACTCACTCAATGGGTACCCGCGCTCACTGGGGGTGTACAGACTCTGGAGGGGCTCCTACAGCCTAAGCATTATAATCTGCACGGATAACTCACGTGCCATAATATAAATATCTAGATCCGTACGGCCAACTCACGTGCTGCACGGCCAACTCACGTGCCATAGTATAATATAAGGATCCGTACGGCCAACTCACGTGCTATAGTATAATATAAGGATCCGCACGACCAACTCATGTGCTATAGTATAATATAAGGACCCGCACGGACAACTCACGTGCTATAGTATAATATAAGGACCCGCACGGCCAACTCACGTGCTGCACGAACAACTCACGTGCTATAGTATCAATATCTCACAATCAGGCCCTCGGCCTCACTCAATCATAAATCTCTCTAGTCTCTCAGGCTCTCAATAATCATGAAATCAGCCCAAACAACAATGATATGATGTATTAATAATAATAATAGAGACTGAGATAAAATGTGCAAGTAAAAAAATGAGACTGAGTACATATAGCATTTAGCAGGCAATTCAACAAGTACGCGACCTCTGTGAGTCCCAACAGTACTATCACATAGCCTAAGCATGATTTCTAACATGATTTATAGTCAAATTTTATCAACACATAGAGAGCATATAGCTAACAACAAATTATTCAACTTTACAGTTTTCCGGGACGGAACAAGTCACAATCCCCTCGGTGCACGCCCATACGCCCGTCACCTAGTATGTGCGTCACCTCCAAAATAATCGCATGATACCAAAATCCGGGGTTTCATACCCTCAGGACCAGATTTAAAACTGTTACTTACTTCAAGCCATGAAATTCTTATTCTGCAATGTCCTTTCCTCGTGAATTGGTCTCCAAACGCCTCGAATCTGGCCATAAATAATTCGTTTCAGTCAATAAAACTCATTGGAATTAATTCCATGAGAAAATAATAATTTTCCATAAAAGTCCGAAAATTAGCTCAAAAATTGACCGTGGGGCCCACGTCTCGGAACTCGACAAAAGTTACAAAATTCGGAAGCCCATTCAACCACGAGTCTAACCATACCAATTTAACCAAAATCCGACCCCAACTCGACCCTCAAATCTTCAATTTAAACCAAGAGGGTTTTTAAATTTTTCCAACTCAATTCACCAATTAAATGATAAAAACAACCATGAATTCGAGTAATTTAACCAATATTGAGTTAAGAACACTTACCCCGTTGTTTTCTCTGAAAATAACCCAAAATCGCCTCAAATCCGAGCTCCAAATCGTCAAATTTTCAGAATTTAAACTCACTGCCCATGCTTTTCTTCTTCGCGAAAGCGGTCAGTGCCTCGCGTTCGCGAAGCACAAAATAGCTCCTCTCCAAATTCCTCCTTCGCGAATGCGACATCACCCTCGCATTCGCGAAGCACAAAAATGCCTCTGCCTCAATGTCTTCTATGCGAACGCGATGATTCATTCCCCCTCACTACGCGAATGCAACACCTCCTACGCGAACGCGTAGACCAATTTCCTGGGGTTCTCAGCTGCTTCCTCTCTTCTTCGCGAATGCGTAACACCTCTCACCTTCGCGATGCACACCCAGTCCACCCTTCGCGAACGCATGCTTCTCTTCGTGAACGCGAAGAGCAAATATTTCCAGCCTCTCAGTTCCTCTTCGCGAACGCGAGGCTCCACTCGCGAAGACGATGAAGGAAACTAGATGGTGCATTAGAAAAATTCCAGCAGAGTTCCAAGTCAAAAATCCAACCCGTTAACCATCCGAAACTCACCCGAGCCCCTCGGGACCTCGACCAAATATACCAACAAGTCCTAAAACATTATACAGACTAAGTCGAATCTTCAAATCACCTCAAACAACGCTAAAACCATGAATTACACCCCAATTCAAGCTTAATGAACTTTGAAATTTTTAATTTCTACAAATGACTCCGGAACCTATCAAATCACGTCCGATTGACCTCAAATTTTGCACATAAGTCATAAATGACATAACAGAGGTATTCCAATTTTCAGAATTGGATTTCTTCCCCGATATCAAAAAGTCAACCCCCCGGTCAAACTTCTCAAAAATTAAACTTTCGGCATTTCAAGCCTAATTCTTCTACGGACCTCCAAATAATATTCCGGACATGCTCCTAAGACCAAAATCACCATACGGAGCTATTCAAATTATCAAAATTTAAATATGAGGTCGCTTACACATAGGTCCATATCCGGTCCACTTTTCTAACTTAAATTTTTAATTATGAGACTAACTGTCTCATTTCACTCCGAGTTCCTTCCGGACCCAAACCAACTAACCCGATAAGTCATAAATCAATTACAAGATATAAATTGAGCAGTAAATGGGGGAACGGGGTTACAATATTCAAAACGACCGACCGAGTCATTACAAACCCAAGACCTGGTTGTTTCTTTATGTACCTCACTATGTGTAAAGTTTCTTCATAGTGAGATGTCTTTGGTGCATGCATGAATTGACTTAGGCATTGCACTGCGTATGTAATGTCTGGCCTAGTGATGGTCAAGTATAATAACTTGCCAATGAGTCTCTGAAAGCTGTTTCTGTCCTTCAATGGCTCATCTACATCAGTTCTTTGTACACATTCATCATATTCTGTACTTGTTAACTTCAGGTTTTGTTCCATAGGTGTGTCCTTAGGCTTTGAACCTGATAGTCCTGCTTCTGATATCATCTCTAGAGCATACTTCCTCTGAGACATTAGGATGCCTTCTTCAGACCTGGCAAACTCCATTCCCAGAAAGTATCTAAGCTCTCCAAGATCTTTCAATTTGAAGTTTCTATGCAGGGCACTTTTAGTTTGATGTATTTATTCCATGTCATCACCCTTGACAAGCAAGTCATCTACATAGACAAGGATAAGCACAAACTTGTTGTTAGTAGTCTTAGTGAACAAAGAATAATCATGTCTGCTTTGCTGAAAACCAGAGGATAACAAGGCCTGTGTTAACTTCACATTCCATTGCCTAGAAGCCTGTTTCAAGCCATATAAATATTTGAGTAGTCTGCACACCTTATACTCCCCCTGACTACCAAATTCCTGAGGAAGAGTCATATAAACCTCCTCAGCCAGATCACCATTCAGAAAAGCATTATGAACATCTATTTGGTATACATGCCAATGCCTAAGGGCATCAATGGCTATAACAGTTCTTACTGTGGTCATCTTGGCCACAGGGGAAAAAGTATCATGGAAATCAATTCCTTCTTGTTGTGTGTAACCCTTAGCAACCAATCTAGCTTTGAATCTCTCCACAGAACCATCAACATTATGCTTGATTTTGTAGACCCATTTTCAACCTATAAGGACCTTACCAGGTGGTAAGTCAACTACATCCCAAGTGTGATTTTGTTCTAAGGCTTCAATCTCAAGGTTCATAGCCTTAATCCACCTATCATCTTTAATGGCTTGGGAGTAGGAAGTAGGTTCAATATCAGCTGAGAAAGAAGCAAGAAAAGATTGAAAATGATCAGGAAGATGAGAGTAAGAAGTAAAGTGATGCATAGGGTAAAGGCATGAAGTAGAAGCTAAAAGTAAATAAGGGTGAATGTAATCAACCAGCCAAATGGAAGGCTTAAGTGTTCTACCAGATTTTCTGGGTAATAAAGAATCAGTAGGAGGATCAGATGAACTTGGAGAAATAGTAGAAGGAGGAGAGGAAATAGGAATATGAGAAGGAGTAGGTGAAATACTGGATTGAGCAGGATCATTAGGAGGGGAAATGATGTCATTTGGAATGGAATCATGATTAGGTGTAAAAGATGGTAGAGGATCAGAATTGGGAAAGAGAGGAGAAGAAGTAGAAGAGGGATCATGAGTAGCAAGAAACTTACTCCTAGGATGTTTGAAGGAATAGACATTTTCATGAAAGATAACATCCCTACTAACTATGAACTTGTTGGATTCAATGTCATATATTCTATACCCCTTTTGGGTAGTAGCATAGCCCATAAAGACACCAGGGACAGATTTAGGAGTAAATTTATCATGAAAGTCAGGTTTTGTGGCATAGAAGAGGCATCCTAGAGTTCTGATGTGAGAAAAGTTAGGGGGGTTACCATGAAAAATCTCATAAGGTGATTTTCCATGTAGGGCAGTACTTGGTAGTCTATTAATGATATAAGTGGCAGCAAGAATGCAATCCCCTCAGAACTTCAAGGGTATGCTAGCCTGATATCTCAAGGCTCTTCCTACTTTTAGGATATGTCTGTGCTTCCTCTCCACAACACCATTTTGTTGTGAAGTGTGAATACAACTACTCTGATGAATGATCCCTTTGGTTTTGAAATGATTAGAGCATAGGGTATTAAAAATTCATGACCATTATTTGATCTAAAAGTCTTAATAGTGGTTGAGAACTGATTTTCAACAAGATGTAGAAATTTAGTTAGAGTAACATACGCATCACTTTTTAACCTCAAAAGGAAAGTCCAAGTCATTCTTGAATAGTCATCAACAATAGTAAGAAAGTATTTAAGCCCACTGTAAGTACAGACTCTATATGGACCCCACACATCTATATGTACAAATCAAATACACAATTAGACTTGGAAGTACTAACAGGAAAAGGTAGTCTAGTTTGTTTGGCTAGTGGACATACAAGACAATGACAAATAGAAATATAGGACAATTATTTATTTAGATCAGGAATCTTTTTCAATACTGCAAGAGGTGCAAGACCCAGCCTTTGGTGCCATAATGCACTTGAATTTGACTGGACTGAAGCAGACACACAATTAGAAGCAGAAGTAGTAACAAGTGTTGAGGGATTAAGGATGTAAAGACCACCCTTGAGCTTACCAATCCCCTTCACCATGCCACCGAAGAGGTCCTGAAAGACACAAAAATCAGGATAGAAATGAACTGAGCTGTTTAACTCTTTTGTATATCTAGAAATAGAGAGTAGACTAAATTGGAATTCAGGAACATAAAGAACATCATAAAGGACTTCTGAGTTAGGCAAAGTACATAGTCCAGTATGAGTAACTTTAGTACTATTTCCATTAGGTAAATGTACAGTAGGTGATTTGAGTTCAGGTACATGGTATACTAATGATAGTAGATGTAAGGCTAAAACTATGTGATTAGAAGCCCCAGTATCAATAATCCAAGGACTTTGGTCAGTAGTAGAGTTACCTGTCATGTTGGTTGAGGCATCAGGACCCTTCTCCTTGTTTAGCAGCTTGAGAATCTGTTAGTATTGTTCAGCAGTGAAAGGCTGAACAGTTGGAACAACATTCCTGTGCATACCAGTGTGAACTCCCTCCCCAATGGTCATATTATGTGCTACAACTGCTGGTTGTTCATATGATCCTCTTCTCTTGTTAGTGAATTTGAATCCAGGTGGATATCCAATCTATTTGTAGCAGCCTTCCCTCGTATGACCCTTCATTTTGCAGTAGTCACAGTACAACCCAATATTTCTCTTAGGATTTACATTGAAGGCATTACAGAGGCTAGTGAAGTATGGTCAATATCCACAGGAGCACTTCCTAAAATTTCACCCTGTGTTGTCAAACCACTATTCTTTCTTTGGCTTTCTTCCTGAATAATTGTGGAGTAGGTTTGATCAAGTGAGGGTGTTGGATGCATCATGAGAATCTGACTCCTTTGTGGTGCATAAGTATCGTTTAATTCGATCAGAAATTTCATAAGTTTCTGTTGGTGTAAAAATTCCACAAATGGTCCTGACCTCTCACAATCACAAGGTTCCGGAATCAATGACTCAAATTCATCCCACAAATCATTCAGATTCGAAAAGTATACTGATACACTAGAAACTCCCTATACCAACGAGCTAATCTCCATATTCATGTGATAAATTTTGGTTGCATTTACCTTATCAAACCTAGTCTTCAACACAATCCAGACTTTCTGTGTGTTTGAGGAGAAGACAATTCCCTTTCTAAGCTCCTTTGCCACCGAGCTCATGATCCACGACTGAACAATTGCATTGCACCGGTCCTACTGACGCAATTGGAAGGTATTATTTTCGTACAAATCTCTAGTGCACGTTTCATCAATAAACCCTAATTTATTCTTCCCAAGGAGTGACATTTTCATAGATCGACTCCATTCCGAATAATTTTCAGTTCCGATGAGCAATTGTGGGACAATTTGCAACCCAGGTGTGTCGGGAGGATGTACATATAAAGGATCGTTGTAATCAATGTGTTGACTGTTTGCATGTGAATATCCTCCTGTATTTTCGACTGTATTGTTCGCCGTTGGAGACAATTTTAAAGCTTTGAGATTGAAAATTTGAACTTGAGAGAAGATGAAGAACTGAACAGAAATTTAACACAAAATTGAGAGAAATCGAAGAATAGAAGAAGGATATTAGAAGATCGGAACTGCCAGAAGTTCATCACTCAGAATCGCGAGCACCGTGGCTCTGATACCATGTCAAAACTAGCCCTAGAACCGCCATTAGAGAGTTCTGAGCTGTTAGGGGAGAGAAGAAGATTCTAGAGAGAGAAAAAATGAATTCTCATTAGATGTAAAATTGACTCATCTATACAGTAATTCGGGTATTTGTACATTTATACATCCCACTAACTAATAACTAATTATATACATGTGCTAATTAACCACCCTAACTGATTCTAGAAGAGTACACCTTAAATAGCTACCTGTACAACCACTATTTATCTCTACAAAAAACTTCAATTTAAGATTGCTATTTATGTTCTGAAAAGTCATGCTTCCAGAAAGAGTGAAACTGTTGCACCACTAAAATGAAGGGACAAAAACGGTTGCAATTTCAAAAGACACTAACCTAGGTATCGGTAAGGTTACCAAACATTATTTCACTATTTATTACACACTAATGCAGAATTGTTCTTACAAGTCTTGAGGTTATATTGAGGTTATTTGATTTGATGTTTATGGAAGACAAGAATTATCCTTTTCATCATGTCCCAGACTCCTAAAATTTCCTTTGCATTTCCTTACTTGCAAATCCATTTTTATGTAATGCAAGTAATATATCTCTCTAATAAAATTGGATGGCTTGATTGGAGGGTTATCTCCATTTCAGCGTTCTATTGTAGTTTTCTAAGTGAGGGACGAATCTATGGCTATATAAGGGAAGTGCTGATAGAGTTGTGGAAAATGAAAAATGATCCAACCTTCTGAAGAATGAGAATGTTTCATGCAATGACATGGTATCCTAATCTCCTCTACCGCCAAAGGACGTGTTGCAGTGGATGAGACTGCTCTTCCCTTAACCAGAGGTCTCGAGTTCAAGTCCTGGCTATGAAAAAATTCTTGGTAGGGAGCGCTTCCTTCCGAATGGGGCCCTACGCAACGCGAATCCGGATATAATCGGGTACCAATGCGGATACCGGATGAGAAACCAAAAAACAAAAAAATCCTAATCTCCTCTTCCTTTGTATTTTCTCTTTATCATCGTAATCATCGAATTTGTTAATTATGCTTTGTTGTTTTTGTCCCCTTCCAAGTTTAATCAGTTCCTTTGTCTATAACTGGTTTCATGTCACAATCTTCGTAAGCAAGGCAAATAACTCTTACCATGTGCATTCTCAAGAAACTAAACCAAAAATGATTTTTCACTCTTTTTTTTCCCCTCTAATGGAGTTCAATCATGAGTATTTCATGGATTCTTTTTCAGTGATTTACCCTATGAAATAGCACGGTTAATTCGTGATTTTAGATGAAAAGCCATAACATTAGAATATGGG